AAAACAAAAAAACGTTAGATTTGAAAGGAAAGAAGAAAATATTATGAAATAATTTATAGTTAGGAAACAACTGAAATTGACAAAAAAAAGTCTTAGTTTTACGTGCAACAGTTTTAACGCTAAAGCAAAGGTATCGCTTTGACTATGGTTTGAGTTTCTTCAAGATCAGATAAGTCAATACCGATAGCTTTGCAGTTAAGCGTTTGAAATTCGGAGTCCTAATCCTTAGTAATGTTTAAGAAACCCTTTAGATTGACGTCCACCAAAACTCAATTTTCCTTTTGTGATCGTTTTAGGTCTCATTAGTCGCATGCGACTGGCCATCGCAGAAACAGCTTCCTATTACAGCGAATATTGACTGCCAAGCAGTTTACAACCACGATTGAGGTTTTTAGCACACCTCCGAGATCAAACCATTGTTCCAGACAACAATCCCTTGTAAACAGGTTATCACTGAGTGAAGACACTCGGGATCTACCGGTTTAACGTCCTTATCCTAAGAAGACATACTAATATAACCATTTGAATGCAAAGGTAGCCACCTTCTTCTTAGTTATTTTAAGACCTTGAGTGTTGGTCTGACCCTCTTTACTAACTCACCCATGCAACCAAGTGGCGGTTAAAGGGGAGATATTCCTTCAGGTCTTATTCTAAAGTTTATCAAATAAAAGGTATAATGAATTCATATTAATGAATTTATATCAAAATATAAAAAGTATTAGCATCAAAACGAACTCACCTCTGCGAAGCGTCGCAAATGGTAATGATAGATCTGAGATAGCATTAAGAGCCCGGAAGAAGGCATTGCTAACTCTCTTAGAAGAATGCATTCCAACAAACCACCTTGCTTCTTTTGGTCAGCGATGTTCATTGACAGACACTCTGGCAAACGTGAGCAAGTAATGAAGCAGTCAATTTCATCTTCAACGAAAATCGTTTGGGTTACATTTCCCAACTCAAACTTCCTGAATGGAAGTTTATCAAAATACGGTCCTTCAGAACATCCACTTTCGCAGAAGCGAATAAAGAATGAGACC